CAGAACAAGTATTTTAGAAAGTTGCCATTCTTATAGGGAATTTGACATCAGATGAATCTCATCCTGGTTTAGATTGCAACAACATGGGAAATGGTACTCAAGTGTGGCAAAGAATACATTATTACTTTTATGAATAATGCATGAAATCACCATTTGTGAGTTTATCTCCTAAAATGTTTTTTTTCTTTCTCCTGTAGGTGTTTCTGCCAGTTCCATTTCTGATGGTGGCAATGTCTTTCTTCCTAGTTTTAGCTCCTATAATCTGGTCTCCAAACCTGCAATATGTTTATGCATTCCTGTTCATGCTGGGAAGTCTTATTGTTTATCTGCCTTTTATACATTTTAAATTGCATTTTGCATTTCTTGATAAAATTACTTGCCACCTACAGCTCCTGTTGGAAGTTTCCCCTGCTGATGGATCTGCTGAGGGCAGATGTGAATAACAACAAACGTTTCATCCCAGTACAACTAAGCCAACACAACTTTCTTTAACTGAGATTGTAGAAGGCACAAGTTAGATTTTAAGTGTGATATATGTGTGTATGCATGTGCATGCATGTGTGTACATGCATATACATATATACATTAATATACATATATTGCATATATACATGTATGCACGTATGTATATATAGACATTAGCTTGATTAATTAATATGTGTGTATTTTTGTGTGTCTGTGAGTGTATATATACATATATATGTATATGCATACATAGTTAATAGGTGCCAAGAATCTGTAAAATGCTCCCTCTTGCTCCTGAAGACAGTTAAAGTTGCATATACACTTGAAATAGTAGAAATAAAGCTAAATTACAGCACTAAAAAATATCAGTATTATAATGTATAAATTACAAAATGCATACTAATCAGCATAATTATATAAAATACTTTTGGTCTCCAAACTAAGTTGTCTGGTTCAATTTTAGTTCATAGGAGCTGTTTTTAAGAGGTTTATACTTCTGTTTGTCTGCTACTTTTTTTAGTCTGAATTATTTTTAATAAAAACATTGAAGAACATAGTAAAATTGACTGAGACCTTTTTTAATTCCAAGAAAACTGTACATGGTTGTCTTAGATATTTTAGAGCAAAACATACAAATGCCCGGTAATATCTTGCTGAGGTTAAAATAAAGTAATAAAATTATTTATTCTCTTTGTAACAGTGATAAAACTCAAGATATCTGTATTACTTTACTGAATTTTAAAAATCCTAGCAATCATTAATATTACCTTGTCCCTTAGTACCTGTTCCTTAGTATTATTGAGAAAGAAGAGGGTTTTTTGGCCCCTTTCCCTCCATTTTTTTGTGTTTGTGAGAGCAAGGTAAGTTCTTGATTTTTACATTTTTTTATTTGGGACATATTAAATCCACTGAATATTTAACCTTAAAGAACAAATACACAAGAAACATCACATCCTTAGGTGATTAATCTATTAATAGATGCTGTTGTTTTTATAATTACAGTAGATTCATATGTATACATATTTACTTTTTTTCAAAATTTTTTGTGTATGAAGCTCAGCAATTCAGCCAGCAGATGGCTCCAGACTAACATCCCTCTTAGACTGTTTTGTGAGTCGCTGGAAGTTGTATTAGTGAGACAAATGCTTTTACAGAACATTGCATTGTAACACTTGAAGTAGAAAATCCTTACTAGAAGATTCAGTTCTCTGATATATCAAAAATTTAGAGGTCAGAATGATAGAGACTTAATACATGGCTTCCCAAAGTATAGGGTGCCCAGCAGTAAATCTGGGAACAAAGTGAAGATTTAAGAGGATTTGACTTTGCACTAGAACAAACCTCTAAATGCAAACAAGTACACAAAAAAAGTGGCTTGTCTCACAGCTAGTGATGGAAATTTGAAGTCAAAACCAAACCTTTTAAGATGCTGTAGGAAGAAAAGTCCATACAAGTGGGGAGTGAATACCACTGAGTTGGAGACTGGATCCTGTTGAAGGCAAGACAGCTCACTAATGCTATCAGAAAAAAAAACATTTGTCATTTAAATTTAAAAAATCACAAGACTAGACAAAACTTAATTCAATTAATATTTTAAGAACTGAATTCCTGTGAGTATTAAAAGGAAAGAAGGATTTTACTGTGACTAAAGCACCAAACTTGGATATACAAATGCAGGTGTGGTGCCTGGAAGTGCCACAGATTTTCAAAATATCTTGATTAAGCCACCTATTTAAACCTAGGTTTTAACCTGTAAATAAAAAGAGGAGTCATAAGAAGAAAAAAATTGCACGTGAAAGTAATCTTCTATCAAAGACCACATGGTTAGAAAAAGCAGACCTTAAGGGGATGTTGCTCAATTGGATGTGTAATTTCTATGGAATTTCTTGTCAGGAAATCTATTTGAACTCATTGAGTACAGAGAAGACTTTTGTCTTGATTTTAATGAGTTGCACACCTAGTGAATACATATGTCAGGGTATGTTTGAATAATTGGAGCATATATCTGCTACTGATACAAGTCTTCAATTTAGAGGTTTAGCAGTTTCAACAAATTAGGCAACTCAAAAGACCCAATGAAATGTAGTATTAAATAAATTTCATCTATGTATCTTTTTGTAATATGAAGCAGATGGATTTTCTGTTAACAAAAACCTGGAAATGGCATATAAACAAGCACGCACGCATCCCAGATTTGTAGTGATTATTGCTAAAGACAAGAACAGTAAAACCAGGTCAGAATTAAAACTTCCCATGCAAGCTGAATCTGCCCCATCTGTGGAGGCACCTTACGATGGCCTTTGATTATCAGATCATAAACTATTATTTCAATCTACCCGTATCTCATTTGTGAGATACAATGGATGGCTCCCAGATAATTCACTATTATTTTCTTCCCATTTCTTCACGTGTGACCTTGCACTTAATTTATCACTCTCTGCTCAGATGGTGGTTTTGATAGACATTATTACTTTCTTACAGATTTTTCTATGGTGTTCCTCGTGACAGTATCTCAACATTTCAGAAAGAACCAGTAATGTGTCTTTAGTCTCGTGAGCTGAAGCAGTGGTATTATCCTGGCTTTGGGGAAAGTGAACTAAGCTGGTGTGTGGGTTGCACAACAAATATTTTTTGTGATGTTCCCTGAAATCCTTCAATTCAGATCAAGCACCTCAGTGGAGAACCACTGATGGAGATTCAAGTCCAGTGGTGGATGTTTCTTTACCTTAGGAAGCAGGGCAAAGAGGCAGGGCAAAGGGTTAGATAGGAAAAGAATCAGAGAATCAGAGAGAACTATTCAGGTTGGAAAAGAACCTTGGGATCACCAAGTCCAACAATCATCCCTACTCTACAAAGTCTTCCCTAAATCATATACACCAACACCACATCCAAATGGCCCTTAAACACATTCAGGGATGGTGACTCAACCACCTCCCTGGACAGCCTATTCCAGTGTCTAACCACTCTTCCTGTGAAGAAATTTTTCCTAATGTCTAGTCTAAACCTACTCTGTTGCAGCTTGAAGCTGTTCCCTCTTGTTCTGTCGCTAATTACCTGTGAGAAGAAACCAGCACCAACCTCTCTACGATGTCCTTTCAGGTAGGAACTGGTGCAGACATACCTTCTATGCATATTCAGCCACTGATCTAGATTCCAGTTCTTCTGCGTCTTTTAGATGGAAACAAAGGAAGTGTGGCCAAAATTGTTCACTGATGTTGGATTTCAAAGCTGAGGTACCTTGGACCTGATTTTCATAATAATACTTGCAGAGTGCACATAGTCTGTTGGAATTCCAAGAATAGTAAATAAATTATCACAGATGCTTTGGTTTAGATGAATCGCAGGTAACCTATTACTCAACCTCTGACTAACAGTGGGTATTTGGAACATATAGACATTATACAGTCTATGAAGTGTTAAATTACAAATATGAGAGTTTAGAATTCCACCAAATCAAACAGTAAGGATTTAAGATGTGGTATAGAAAATAAGGAAAACAGAATTGATGACAAGCAAAAAAAGAAAAAGAAAAAAAAAGTGGTTGAAATTATCCAAGTATGACCTTGAAACTTTATATGGAAGGAGAAGCTTGAATTCTTCTGGGCAATCTAAAATTCCTTCATCAGCAACCCTTCTTTAAGTCCTACCTCATTCACTAAATCAATCTCCATTTCTACAGCAAATGAATGCTCGGCTACCTCAAATTTAGTGTCTTCTACAACACAAACTGTTGACTTATTCCCTGATCTGAGTGCGACAGAGGTCTTCTGAAAAATGTTTCTCTTATTAAATGACCTACTGTTCAGAAAGGGATTCACACAACTGAGCTGAATTAATATTAGAAAAGCAATCTCAGATATGGTATTTCCTATCTGCTGAGTATGAGTCACTCAATATTCTCTCAATGCAGGTTTTCTTTTGCCTGAGTGTTTTAGAATGCCAAGTTACAAAGAAAGGAATAAAATATTCAATTCATATAGAATTCTTATTGTTGCTGGCTCATTCCACATTTCCAAGCACTAATCATAAAGGAACAGAATTCAAATTTATAACTCATGTTTGCCACTCTGGTCAAGAGCAATTCAATATTTTAACATTATAGCTTGTTTTCAGTGACACTAGTTGGTCTCAGCTGCTTTCCTACTGGAATGTATCTCAATAATGCTATATAGAAGTGTGACTGCTTTAGTACTAGACTATATCAGGCATTTATTTAACTTTTAAATTATTTTTTTTTACCTCTGACTTTATATTACTTTTAAGCTCATACTTGCATGTTTCAGAAGTTCAGCCTTACAACAAATAAATTAAAATGTGGATATTTGTTTTCTGATATTGAACTAGCCCACTTTGGCATGTAACATCCCTAGCTGTTTTTCTAGCTTCCTAACACGTTATTTGGACGTATGTCAGCATTACTTTTTTGCCATTATCTCTAAAAAAGACAATGTAAAAAACCAATTGATAATCAGTCTGATTTTAGAATTACTTGTGGTTACACATCGTGCTAGCTCCATGTGTGCTGATAGTTTTATAATAAATGTCACTCTGAGGCAAAAACTGTATAGATGAAAACTAAAAAGCAGCAATTAATTGATTTACTCCACTTTTCATAGTTATTGTTAACTGTCATTCCAATCAAAAGGTAATAAATTAAAAATATACAGTTGTATATTTTTGTCTGTGATTGTGTGGTGAGTTTTGATTGGAACCTCTGGTTTACACAGGGAAGGATATCCGAGGAGCTGCCTATAACTGTCAGGCATGGAGGGGCTCAGACCTTCTGACTTCTAATCTTAGGTTTGATATATGGCACTCTGATCATTACCAAGTTTCCCTAAATCTCAGTTTCCACATCTGCTAAACCAGAGATAACTGTGTTTTAACAACTCACAGGTCAAATGGTATTCGCTTGACACCTTCTCCTCTAAATCACAGTCAGGAATGATTCTTGTCATTGCCTTTTATGACCTGTTCCAAGGGATGGGGGACCCTGAGCATTCCCAATTCTTATTGGCTTGATTTGAAGGGGCAAGAGCTGTACGTGCTTTGGGAACTTTGAAACAGTTTCTGTTTTTCTTTGGAACAGGAAATTAAACATTTTAAAATTAAGCAGGTTTAGATAGCCTGTATCCAACAGATTTAAA